CCACCTGAATTTCTGGGCTGTTGCTGTTAGCTGGCAGCTGGATCCAGTTACTGGCTTTTGTTAGTCTTGTCAGAGTACTCAGCCCAGCTTTTCCTTTTCTCCCATGAGTGGACAGCTTCAGAGTATGCTAGAGGCAAGGCGTGTCATTTTCGGAGCTAATGATCTTATTCTGATGACAGTGGCTGTATTCTGGGTTGTGTGACAAAGGGCTGGTGGCTGCAGGCAGCTGGGAAGCCCAGAGCAAGAAGCAGGAGGCCCCTCTCAATAGAAGCATATAAAAATCACAACTAAAGAGGCCTCTGTCAAAGCAAATCTGGACTAGAACTAAATGATACTTTTGGTTTTTCTCACTTCTTTTGTTTAAACAAGACCTGTAACTTGTAGTTTAGTGGAACTGTGATTATTCCACACATTTTAAAGGGGTGTGCTTTAATGTGGCACAGGCCATGGCTTGCCAATACCACTGAAGGTGCCATCTTCATGCCTCATAAAATAGCTGATGCTTGGGCTGAGCAAACGGAGATGTTTCTGAACTCACCTCAGCAATCTTTCTGTATGCTGACAGTTGGCCTGCAACAGATGAAGCTGAGAGATCAAGAGCTTGTGGCTGAAATTGGAGCCCTGCATCTGAAGCTTGCCATAGGCAGGAGTTTCTGTTTCATTTGGAGTTGTTACGAAGGACCATAGAGCTTAATAATTTGGTATCTTTTTGTTCAGAACCTGATCAACTGCTGGGCATGGTGAAACTGCCCATCAACGCACATGACCTTTAAAGGTTCATCCATGTGTCTGTATTTACTGATCTTTCCTCGGATTTTTTTTTTTAAATTATTTTTTTCATGTGGTTACCTAAGCATTCAAGCTGTAAACTTTTCTGGTGATTTAGAATCATAGAATAAGTCATAGTCTTAAAGCCTCATGAGGACAGTGCTTTAAGTGTCAGTTTCATTAGGGGCTGGTTTCTTTGTGCTGAAATATCTGAGCTTTGCATGACATGATCAATACTGTTTCTTTTCTGTTTTCTAAAAGCACTCTAAACTTTTCCTTGTGACGCTGATTTCAAAATCTTCATTCAGGATTTCTCACTGAGTCCTTTGCCCCTTTGTGAAGTTGCTGACAGTTCAACTTTATTTTCATAAATTATATAACGTAACTAATCTGCTGCTTCCCTTTACACACCAACTGCGTGAAGCTGTCAGGGAGTTGTGATGAAGTACCACCAGCTGTATACAGCAGGTAGGAGAGTGTTTGTTCATTGTTAGAGAACTCTGCTCCACAGTTTTTGCATTTCAGGCACTCATGGATTTTGAGTCATGATTTTGACAGTTTCCTCTTGAAAAACTGGATATTTTGCACGGCCTTGATATTGCATAACAGCTTTAAAATAAAGGATGGGAGAGAGAAGAAAAATCTAGATCATCTCCTCTGTGAAAATTAAGCATTTGACCAATATAACAACTGAGCCTCTGTTTATGAGTGCAGTTTTGGTATGTGCAGAATAAAAATCTCAGAATGCAAATATTTGCTTCTCTTATGTCAGGTACGAAGTCCTCTTTCATAACAAGAAGAATCTAGGAGCCTCTAGTTTATGCTGAGCCTTTATTCTTCAGACTGGGGCAAAACTTCATACATATGCTTAGACTAAGGCAACTGACACCTAAAAAGCAGACAATATTTTGTGCTGGAAGGGACCTTTAAAGGTCATCTAGTTTAAGCCCTCTGCAGTGAGTAGGGACACCTTCCACTAGATCAGATTGCTCAGAACCCCATCTAGTCTGACCTTAAATGTTTCCAGGGATGGGACATCCACCATCTCTCTGGGCAACCTGTGCCAGTTTTTCACCACCCTCATAGTAAAAAATGTCTTCCTTATATCCATTATATCCTTATATCTTCCTTATATCTTTTAGTTTAAAACCATTACCCCATGTCCAGTCCAGTGCAACAGGCTCTGCTAAAAAGTCTGTCCCCATCTTTCTTATAACCCCCTCTAGGACTGCTGGTAAGGTCTCCCTGGAGCCTTCTCATCTCAAGGCTGAACAGCCCCAACTCTTTCAGGCTTTCCAAATAGGAGAATTTCTCCAACCCTCCCGTTATTTTTGTGTCCTTCCTTCCTTCTGGACCAGCTCCAACAGGTTCATGTGTTTCTGTGCTGAGAACTCTCAGTAGGTGCAGAATAATGGAGCTGTAAAAAGCTGCCAAACTTAGATGAGCTGAAAGAAAAGCTTTATTTCCAAAGATACACAAAGGGAATTACATAAGCTGTGACTGATGAGGTGTGTCTGAAATGCTGACACAGTTATCAGGCGAATGGCATTTCATTCCTCTTGCCAGTGATGATGGAGGTCTGCTTGGCATGAAAACCTACAGAAGCTGGTCTGCTTGGAAGTATAGTTTCCTCCTTTTTAGGAGGCAAAATAGGAAACAAAAATATTTTGCTTCCATTAAAATGCCTGCTTTATGTGAAACAGCTATCCATCAGTTCCTACCCTTACAACCAGTAATGGGGGGCAATAATCTTAAGACAATATTTTCCATTTTTGTTTCTACCCATCTAACTTACAAGCTCCTGGCTCCTTTTTACACCATGGAGTTGAGCTTACAAAGCAGTTGTGATGCCATTTGTCACTATGAATCTGGCAAAAATTCTTCTAAAACCAGGAAACTGTGCAGTACAGTATCTTTGCTTCTTACTGTGGAGCTTATACTAGATGATCCAGACTTTTTGGGTGGATCTTGTGCCCAAAGACTGAAACCTCCATAATCAGCAGCAGAGCAGAACTAGGTATATGATCCATAAACTGTTACATGGGGAAAGGTAGGCATGCTGCTCTTCATATGGGACAGTATTTTTATCTGCTCTTTTTTTTTTTATATATGGAAAATGGTGTGATAAATCATATATTTAATGAAATTTAAAGTCAGTGAAAGTCTGAATGAAGTAAAATGAAACTGTGAAAAAAAAAAAGGTGAGAGAGAGGCAACGATATGCCGAATGTACATGAGGGGGGAAAACAATCCCAATTTGATTGTAAAAAGGACTATGTATTATGATGGTTATTTGTACACACAGAAATAAATACCGAGCCTTAGGTTCTGTTTAGTTCTTTAGGGCAATTGAGCTAATCTATGAATAATGACCCAGCATCAAACTAGTGGGTTCTCCTAACATCTGTCATTGAACCCTGCCCAAGATATTTGGAAGCAGAACATAAAAAATGAATGTCATCTGACAGGAGCCAGATCACTACCAGAGTTAAAATAGCCCTGGACATGTAGTTCATGATGTGTGATATGCAAGTGGTGCATATCCATTTACTGTGGGTGTTGTAGTGGTGAGGTGGTTTGAACTAACAACCATGCATCACGTACTTCAGCACTCAGCTCTTGGGTCACAGATAAAAGATTATATGTTTGAAAGACATTTAACTTATATTTATGAGTAATATTATGAGATACGTAGGATTTAGATAATCACATTGTTAGTTATTGTCTGAGTATCATAGCAGGCATAACAAAAGCTTATTATTTGAGTGAGGTCACTTATCCCTTTTCTTCTTTGATGTAATCATGTGGTTGGTTGAGATATGTATTATACTCTGCATTTGAAAACCATGCACTTACGTTTGTACATTATGCCATAATAACTTTAAGAGTTTCTCCTACAGGCAAAAGCATGTTTTGCTGTGTTTTGTAGAATTATAAAACCTTTTAAGTCTCTCTACCGTTCTTTCTGCCAGCTTGCATCACTACTGTTGGTTACTGAAGTCTCTGCCTTATAGAGGACTGCAGCAGGAGGCCTCAGAGTTGCAGAAGTAACAGAATATGATGTACTTCTGTTTGCCATTTTGCATCTTTGTCAATTATAATTTAATATTTTCTGAAATGCTATGGGATGCTTTTTCTCCTTCAAAAATAGAATCTTGGCCATATTTCTGATTTCCTCTCCTCCCCTCTACTTTTACTCTAAATAGGTGCTCAAATTCAGTGTTTTATGTAATAAAATATATAGCTAGCATAAAAGCTCAAGTAAATACTGTAGCTGTATGTTCCATGTTTGCAATAGGATCAGGCAGAAACATCTTGTATGTTGTGTGTTATTCCACTGTTGAAAGTTGTTCTGTGTTGCAGGGTTCAAAACCCACCCCAGTTGGTTCAAGAAAGCTCTTTTAATGTTTATTTTATTAGGTGAAACAGGATTAAGGTAATATTTTCTAATATTTTTGTGGTTCATGGCAAGGTGCATCAGACCCAAAGAAAGCCTTTCCACTAAACTTTAACTGAAGTTGGGTCTAGTTGCTAACTCCGACGGTTTTTTTGTGATGTTCTCATGTCGTGAGCTTTACATCTTAATATGTTTTCCTTAAGAAAATGTTTTGTAGGAATTAGCATGACTTGATCTTCTAGGTGGATAATAGGTAAATAATCTATTTTGTGTGTGGGAAGTCAACACAGTGCCTTCATGGGGAGAAGATGTACATGATGTATATGTAAAGTCCTATGCGTGTTGGAAAAGCCACCACTTTGTAAGAAAGCATAGGAAATGGAGAGATATCACAGGTCACAGGTCTGTGTATTTGGGTGAGGAAAGTCTGGCTCACAGCACCTACCATTTTAAACAAATATAGGCCTGACCTTAATTTACGTCTGTTAATCCTGTTACTCCAGCTTGATATCCTCTTTGTCTCAATATCAAATTTTTTTGCTTCAGCATGCATCCTACAGTTGCAAAGCATCTAAAGCCAAGTTCATTAGCCTTTTCTAGTGTACGTGACTAAGACATGCACAGAAAAATACCCCAAAACCTTTTCTAAGGTTTTTCAACTTACACATGTTTTGAACATCTTCATGTCTGAGCATCTTTGCATCTGTTCTGGATTTTAAACCACTTGCTAAGCTTTAGTGATGGTGAAGTGATTTCTCTGCCATTCTACCTATATTTTGTGAAGTTTCTATATCTTTTAAAGATTTTTCATTCTAAAATTTTCTGTTTTCTTTAGGGAACAGCAGTATTACAGTCTGGAGTCTTACCAGCTACATCAGGTAGGAGTCATTTAGTTATTTGTTTTTTTAAAGGATAATGTTTAAATCTCAAATTGTGATAAGAAAAACAGATTTATGGAAGCAAAACTAAAGACTATGTTGAGAGATATCCTGTTCTTGGTTGGTTTTGATACTGCAATTCATGACTACAAATTATGAAATACATTGTAATCTGTAGTAACTTTTTGGTTGCAAGGATTAATGTATTTGTGTTTTCCTTCCTTTTTTTAATCTACAGAGGTTCACAGTTGTCAGTTTCTGTATGAAGCTGTATAGTGCTTTTTCTGCTTACATATTTGAAGAACACCGAGAAAGTGTTCTTTTTAGGCTGTATTAACACCAAAGGGAAATTTGATTTATATGTGCATAGCCAGTTTTCACACAAAACCACAGGAATGTTCCCAGAGATGCTTCTCTCATGTCACTGGAACTATTGATTGACCAACAAAATCACTAATGAGAGGACACTAAGTATCTGGGTCTGGAAAAATTATTTAGGCAAAGGTAACACACTGACCATCTTTGTACTGTAGACCTTCCTATCAGTAAAACGTGTTGGTTTTCTGAGTTCCCTTTCTAACGTAGCCAAACTGGTCTGGCACCTTTGAATTATCATTTTACACCGAAGGTAACATTTCATTGGTTTTGTGTAACATCTCCACTTAGTCCTTGAAGAGATCTATGAAAATAATTTGATTAGTATCTTAAATGCCTTTATAGTTCTTAACATATTCCTTGCCAAATAATTCATCAGATCCATTAAATTTCATAGGTTTCCTGCTTCCAATAGGCATAGAACAGCAGCTCTTTGTGTTGGGTTTCTTTATTGCTTTTAAAAACCTTGTTCTGTAAAGCAGTGTGATACTTGTGTGAACAAATCCAGTAAGATATCTAGGATCAGGAGGTGTCTCTGGAGAAGGTTATAAGAAACTCTATTCCTTTGTCTGTCTTAGCAGGAGAAAATCCAGAAGCATTTAGCAGATCTTGTTTCTAGTTATTCCACTCGAGTCAGTGGAATTACTCTTGATTTATAGAGGTGTAGGTAGGATTTTATCTTTCCTTCTGGTACTCAAGTTTCAAGTCTTCAAATCAACCCAAGGAAACCAGAGGACTTATGATTAAAGTTTGTGTAAATGCAGGGAATCCTGTATGTGGTGGGCACAATATTATTTCTCTGTTAATTTCAGTGTCAAGTTAATTATGATTGCAAACAATTATGGATGAAAAAAACTTTAGTCTATTCAGGCATATGAGGGAGTTAACTGTTTTGAGAAAACCTATCATTAAGCAAATTGGAATTGTAGAAATACAGGACAGCTCTTGGATCAACAGAAAGAGAAGATACAAGACTGAAGACATTTGAGTAGGTGGGTTTTCCTTCCTGGTACATTGGGAAAATATTGTGTAAGAAAAGAATTGAACACTTATTGGAATAAGTATAAATGCTTAAGGCAAGTGCAGCATCTAAAGCCAGTGATGAAAGTTTTTAGCTATCTTTCTGAAGTTCCATCTCTCAAATGCTCTAATACCAGTACAACTTTATTCTTCAAAACTACACTATGTTTCAGAAAACAAAAGAAGCTGAAGCTTTCTCTGTCTTATTGCATTTTTCTTGTCCTTAGGTATTTAAAGTTTTGTCATTTATATACATGAAGATTTCAAGTGTAATTGAACCTGGCATTGCAGAGCTCTCAAAACAGTTCTGTAGTCTTTGACTCTCAAATCTAAACCATTAAAGGTCCCAGGGAGATGAGCAGTCATTCACACAGTTCTGTTGGAATAAACATCATCAGAACTTCTCTGTGTTTCTCCATTATGAGAGACTATTATCCATTGTTGAGGATAACATAAGGGCACACTAATTTGAGGTAACTACTTTCAAAACCTGTCTTATAAATGGCAAGATACCTCTACTACCATGAACGATTGTACAATGATCCAATACCCAGTTATATATTTTGCTAGTGCAGCCATTGGCTTAGTCTCAAACACATTTTTTTTTTATCACAGAGAGAATTGTGTAGTATATTTATTCAAGTACACTGTAGAATGCAAGCTCACTTCTCCCTGTGCTATAGCTGCCCACATATTCTATACCATACTTTTGGTCTCGAGTGTTTCAGTTCTGTACCAGGACATGGACTTAAACAGTCAGGATCAATTGTTTAAATACTTTTCAGTTTATTGTAGTGAATGTGGGTGATGATATTCTCTTTCTACTCTTAGTTACATATGCTGAGCAACAGCCTCAGCAACTGTAGAGAAATGTGTTTATCTCTAATGGCAAGTGGAAAAGTGTTTATAAATGCTGCAACAATTCTGAATTGTATTACTAGATGGAAAAAAACAAGTTGGGGTGAATCATTTAATTCTGGTTTAAATCATTTGGTTGGCTTTGTTATAAATAATATAAATATTGATTAGAAAGAGAGACTGAATTAGATCACTTGTGTTTGTAGGAGGAAAATGTTCCCACTGTTATTGTAGCTTTGTACTACAGATTGAGGTAAGAGATTCTTTGGAGTTGTATGATGTGGGAATGTGTGCTCTTAAGTATAATAGGCTGCATTTGTAGTTATAATGGACCTTAAAATACCATGACAGGATAGAGGTTCAAAAATGTGATTCAGATTTCCTGATTTCTGAGAGTGTTGAGTTTTGGAGGCACCTGTTTAGTACACTTTGTGTGAGAATTTCTCATGGGATCTTTATGGAAATTCTCATGTCTGCTTAAGAAATTCTGTAGCTTGATCTTCTGGTTGCAATTTCAGAGATATGTGTATAGGTCTTCTGTTCAGGAACTGCTTATATATTTCGAATTAAGGGATCAGGAATGAGATGCACGTTCAGTGCTGAGAGGTGAAAGGAAAGCACATTCCTTCACCAAATGAATTGACAAGCATGAAGAACTTCTCTGTATTTTCATTATCTTTCTGGTACTATAAATCAAAGTATTGTAGGAAAACCAGGGCTGCAGCTAGAGCCTCTGCCCTGAGGTTTGGCTGTACTTCTGTGTCTATGGCTGACAGGTGTTAGCATGTTCTGCAGTGAGGCTCCTTAATGCACCTTAAGTCATCCAAAGTCCTTGGCTATTCTTACATTCTTAATGTACTTTCTAACAGCTGTGCTGTTTCTCATTATGGTTTAGGCCTCTTATTTAAATCTTGTGCTACTTTCTATTCTATTGCAACAGCTTAGCTAAGGAATCTCCAGCTCTTACTTAAAATGTTGACATGTTCTCCTTCAAAATGTTTGTATTTTCTCAGTTGAGTAGAACTCTGTCAAAACAATCCTGTTTTATGAATGATGTTTAAACCATGAGGCTGTTTTGTGTGGAGGGGAAATGCCACTAATTTTGTCCTGAGGGAAATGCCACTATTTCTGTCTTTAATTGCCAACCTGCTCCGTGCAAACTGAGCAGTCTGAATCCCAAGACTCCTATTTAGAGAAGCCAAGCTGAGAAGTGGAATGGCTTGCAGAAGTGCTTAGGGACACTGCAATCCCTGGAGAAGGCGTTTCAGGCTGGCTCTATGCACTGTATATCAGAAACTTTTGTCCCTTCCCAATTCCCACAGGGAAGCTGGCTGCCTGGGCATTCCCAGGAGCCAGGCCCAACCCAGAGTATTTCAACACTCTGAATAAACTTCTGTAGTGGGAGGTCTGATCTTCCTGTACTTCTGTGTCATGGGCTCTGGCTTTGCAGAAGTCAATAGTTGAATGGGCAAATAAGTCAACAAATATCCTCCCATGGAAGCAGTGTACTTTAGCATTGTTTTGTGACTCATAAATTATCTCTCTTCTTTTCAATTTTTTTTTGTATCCACGGGAGCAAATTCATCAGCATTGCAACAGACACTCTTGCTCTCTGACAGCCTCTTTGCTTGTAGTACCAAACCTACACAATGCATGATAGGAAATGTTCTGAGAGGATGAATTAAGGAATAAACATAAAACAATGCTGTGGATTTGAATTCAGCTGAAATGTCAGTTGAATTCTAATTATGAACATTACATCTCTATTAAATTGTTCTTAGGTAGATAGGGACTCAAGGCAGGAAGACAAAAAAAAGAGAATAAAATTAAGGTGATAGGTGCTGAAATGATGTCAGCTGTCTGACAGCTTCTCTTTTACGATGGAAAAATATGCTTTCTTTTGTACATTTTTAAATTTTTTTATTGCAAACCTATGCAGCCTGATACTTGTATTCCAAGCTTAGGAGTAAGTTTTCAAGGAATTAATTGAGAGCAATGAGAAAGAAGGAACTGGGCCATGGTGGTTATTGTTGTTTAGGTTGAAAATAATTTATAATTCACCATTTTTTTCAGGAAACATATTGTCAGCTCTTTAGATGTAGGAAGACCAAATGCACTCTGATATTTTTATTGAGCCAGTAAAGGACTGTGCTGAGCAGTGTCCACCATAAATATGTAATGTCTTACCTTATAGGGCTAAACAGTGTAATAGAAGAGCATCATTATAATGAGAAACTGATTAATAAAACCCTGTCATAATGTGACATGCTCTTTCTTGGTCATGCTTTATTCTACAAACACACTCAAAATGCAGGGGAAGAAATGCAGATGCTCTCAAAAAGCCAGCTGATTAAAATACATGTTGCATTTACAAGCTAAACCTTGACTTTATTGACTGCCTGAATTACTAGGGGCCTTTCCCTAGGAGGGGAAAAGAAAAAGGCATTGTGGTGAAACCGTTAAAGAAACACATTATGTGAACTCCATTCTTCACCAGTGTAGATCCTGAGCTTTAGATGTATCAAAATTTTTGGAGAAAATGTATGTAAAGCAGCTTTGAGGGTATATATTTCAAAAAAGCAGACACCAAGTTTCCTGGCACAGGAAAATGGTAATAATTCTAGTTGAACAGTTTTTGCATTTTTAAGGATAGAAGGCTGGGCTGGAATGGGCTTACAGTGTGGGAAGATGAATAATAGCTAGAGATAGCTAGACCCTCTGTGATTCTCTTCAACACACTTAACAGGCATCTTGGATGAGCAATATTTGAACAGTGTGCTTGAAAGCATTTCTAATTTTGAGTGATTCTACTCCTTCTGAAGTTGTCTATTAGAGAGACGGAAGGCATTTTTTAATATGGTGAAATCTTTAGAGCAAATAAGTATTTTTAAGTATCCCCTTCAGCTTTTCTGTATTGCAGATAATGCCATTTGTATAGCGTAAAAGATATGAAATTCCTTTGAAGATCGAAGAGGACAAACAGGGAAGTTTTGTAGGGCAAAAATACAGCACCAGGAAGTCTCTTATTACATTTGCATGAAACAACCTTCTGGTGTACTTATGGTATTTCTCCTCTCAATCAGTGGCTCTAGCCTTTGGATGCTCTTTCAAACAAGGTATCTGTTTTCAAAGGAGGAGACAGAAATGTTGCTTGGCTGAGTGGATCAAAGTTCTTCATAATAAATGTAGTTTTAATTCAACAAGAAGCAGGAATTTATCACAGAACATGGTGTTGTCTTCTGTCCTGACTCCTTGCAAGAAATTTAATAGCCCAGACCCGAAGAGTTTGTGACCTACTCCATGAAGGCAAAGTAGAGGCTGGGCAGTGAGAAGTGATCACTTGGTAAATGCAGTGTAGTGTTTCTTGTGGTCTCCTCACTGGTCACGGAATGACAGGTCACAAGATTTGAAAATATAAACTGTCTGGGCTCAGTGTATAGTATGTATTCCATCTTCCCTCTAGTTGTTTGTTTGTTTTTTGTTTTTTTTTTTTTTCCCATGGCTTTTTCTTGTAGCACCTATACTGTAAACTGTTACGCTTATCTTTGAAGAGTGGGCATAAAGCAATGACTATAAAGTTAGAAAAATATTTCAAATATTTCAAATAGGGGTTGTCTTCATTGAGGTACATCAGACTTTTGACTCTAATCATATGTAGGAATGCAAAATATCCTGCAGATTATTTTAGTTTTGTCACATTTTTAATATCTTCTTCCTCTTACGTATTGAGGAAAGGAGAACCAAAATAACTCTCTTGATGAACTACTCAGTTCTGACAACGACTTGAGCGAGTCAGCCTCACGGAACTAGGTGGCAGGAGAAACTGAAAAAATATTATTAATTATCCCTTGTAAAATGAGAAGAATGATGGAAGGGAGCATCTGTCTCCTGCTGGATACTTTATTTGCTCAGAAAATTGTCTTGCTAACGTGCTTTTTCCATTCCTGCAAGTTTTATCCTAGGATTCATAAATAAGAAACAAAGCAGTTTATATGGTAGCTGTAAAAGAAGGAAGAAAATATCTAGGTCGATCTCTGTTGACATGTGTTTATACAGTGCAGTTCAAAGCTTTGAAAAAATTCCCCAAGAGATTTGACTATGTAAATGTTTGTTAGTTGCCAGATTTGAAAGTGCGGAAAATGCAACAGGTCAAATCCTGAAACATTAAGATAGTTCTTTTAAATAAGCTCTGAATGGGAAAATTTAAACTTGACCATAAATGGATTGGAATATCTTATTGTTTTAAATCTTCTTGCCTGTCCTGTGTGCTCTTCAGAAATCCTAAAAATGTTGCTTAAAAATCTACATTTCCTCCAGAATTATTTCTGTTGAATTGTAATGATTTTTTTGAGGGAGAAAAAAAACCTCACCCCACACTAGCTTTGTGATGAAGCTGGAATTAGCCTAAGGCTGTAATCTTTCTTCAAAGTAAGGTAAGGCTTTCAGCGTCATAAAACATATTCTGACATTCTTAAAGCATTGATAGGATGCACTAAGGTGAGACAAAGGAAGATCAGTTACAGAGAAAATATAAGTAAATCAGCTAGCCCAGGGCTGTCCTATTTTTGCATTTATTTTTATCAGCAATCTTGTTAAAAACAAAATTTCAGATAACATTTTTAGTGGTTAAGTCCTTAGCAGAGTGTGTAAAGGTTCTACAGTCTGATCTCATTTGTTAAAATACAAAATCAGGTTCTTAGTATGACATGCTTTAAACTTGTTTTTTGTAGCCTAAATATATAGGATTACCCTATATATGCTCTTATGTACACAAAGACTACAAACTTAAGGTTTTAGTTCAGCTGTGAACTTCTGAAATAGGTTTTTATTATTTTTTAATCCATTGTCCTCATTAAGTGAAAAAATCTGTATTTTTCTAGATTCGTTTTATTAAACTGTAGGATTCATTTTACAAGCTTGGAAATTCTTAGTTTTAGGGGAAAAAAAAGTATGTATACTTTAGACAGCAGAAAAAAAAAAAGAAATTGCCATTTTCTTCAGATTCCCAGGCCATGCAGTTTTCTTAGGTATTTCAGACTATTTATTTCACAGAATTTCTCCCTGTTGCATAAGAACTGTGGTAATTTTTGGGCGCTATTTTAAAAACAAATTGCAGAGAAGTGTCTCACCTGCTCAGATTCAGTTTAGAAGAATATTATTTTTATATCTGATCCCCAGCACCCAGCAGCACATGGCACAGCCACCCTGTCACCAGTGGCAGGGTTACTCATAGGCACAGCCTCCCACCTGAGTTCTGTTCAGTGCCATCTACTTGTACAAGAAGTTCCCTCACAATTATTCATGTGAGGAAGTAAGTGCCACTCATCTTGATTAAGGTGCTCACAGTGACAACAGTGGAGAGAAGAGATGCAGGGCTGGATGGGGGTGATGCTAACCCAACAGGAAGGTATAATGCTGATTAGTTTGCAGGGTAAATAAAGAAGGAATGTGTGCATGTAGACAAAGCACATCACATGTGTACCACACTGTAGGTTTCTGAGTTGCTAGCTCTTGTTTCCTCAGAGTTTCCTAATACTCTACCTGGGACATCTTGGGGATGGTCCTGTGCAGGGCTAAGAGTTGGACTCGATGATCCTTTTGAGTCCCTTCCAACTCAGCGTATTCTGTGATTCTCTGATTCTGTGAATCGGGCTGGGAAAAGGAGACTGGCTGTGCCATCTGGCATGTCTGTGGTAAAGCTTTCCTGGCTGTAACACTGATCAGTGAAGGTGTTTCACCTGCTATGGCCTGGATTAGAACCCCATGGAAGCCAGATCCTTCATGCACCCTTCCCCCTGCTCCTGTTTATGCTTGTCTAAACACGGATGGTGAAGCATGATACAGTTGTTCTCATTCACTTCAAGAAGTTTTGGATCGAGTCTGATCAGATTTTAATGAACACTTTAAATTTTGTTGTTGCTAAAGCTATGGATTGCAAAGGCAGCTCCCCACTCAGTTGCAATGACTTGTAATTCCTAGTGAAATTTTTCTAGATGCTTCAAAAACATCTACTGAAAACGCTGATGCACAGTAGATATCTAATAATAGCAACAGTTATTTAGATTTGATGTGAATCTCTGTCTTTGAATAAGGTGGTGCTTCAGTCATGGCAGCTTCTGGGTCTTTGAAAGTGCACAGAGGGCACAGTCTCCAAGCTGGTAAGTAAAAGTGATTATAAAGTATGTGCGTGCATGTAAATTTAAATGAATTTAAACTTAAATTATTTTAAGTATCAGAAAATATTAAAGTTAATCTTATGATTTGATTCCCTATTGTAAGGCTTATGTATTTCTTTGGGTTTTTTTTGCTTTGCAGAGTTTTTGTTAGAAAGGCACTGACAGATGGGATAAGTTTAGAAGAGGCAGTGACAGATGAGATAAGTGTCAGAGTACAAGTAGTAATCTTATTCACAGTGGTAAAATGCTGACAGCACCTTAAAAAAGGGCGTCCACCAAAAAAACCTCACCTCAGGCCATGAGAAATCCTGTACCCGAACAATGATATGCTGGGAAAAAACACCCACCACAGTTAAATATACTTCTTCATGATAATGGAGAAAAAGAACACTGCCAGAAGATAAAATTATGTGTGTTTGTCATTCAAAATTAATTACAATATTCTATGGAATTGCAATTACAATATTCTATGTCATTCTATGGACATAGTATTTTTGCTTGCCTTGTTTGAACTGGGGTGGAGTCCAAGATCATGAAGAAACCTGGGCATTTTTTTAGCTTAGTGCTCATGAAGGACTGTTGATGTTGTGCAACCTGTCTTCTTGTAAAGATGATGATTTGCACTTGGAAAGCAAAGTTATCTTTGGAAGGGCTAGTTTAAGCATTTTCTACAGAGCTTTGTCAGAAATCAAGAAGTTATCCATCATGCTGGAGGTGGAATTTTAACAAGAGTCTTCCAGATGCTTCCAAGATCACCCACGCACTGCTCCCTGATTCATGCATTCAAGATATCTCTGCTCCCACATCGATGTACAGCAAAACCCACTGTTGACTTCAGTGGCCTTAAGTGTGAATACTCGTAAAAATGTCCTAAAGTTTATTTCCTGGTGTTACATTCATTAGAAAATGCTGGCATCACCACCACGGAAGAGTCAACGCTAGCCACTGTTTCTAAGATTATTCTGTATAATAGTTTAGTTTAAACAGTTACAAGTCAAATCCAGAAAATTATATGCTTTGATTATATTGTACAAAATCCTAAATCCAAAGCCATTAACAGTGTTCCTGTACTCTAGGTCCTAAAGGTGGATATGAGATGCTAACACTTCCTTCAGAACCTGGAACTCCCACTGGCTCTGAGGAACTTGGTGAGTACAGATTTTTGCAATCAGTTGCATAAGAGGACACTAACACCTCCTCTTTCTTTTTCCCTTTTTATTTTTTATTTTTTCTAATTTAGATATCTTTTAAGTGTTTATTTTTGAAGTGTTGTCCTTTGAACATGTCAACTTTACATGCATTCTCACAAACACATTTCTCTTTAGGCTGTATTTATGGTGCTGGTTTACTTTCTGTGTTATTTCTTGTGCATTTCTGAGAACAGTGGCTATATTGAGTAGAAAGTATGAATAGCACTTGCTAAAAGAAGGGCTAGTTTAAAATATAATTTTCTTCTTCCCTCCCCAATTATAATTTTTTCCTTTCGTTTCCCCATCAGGTCAGGGCCACCGAATTTTCAGCTTTACTCTTCTGTTACTTGCCTAAGTATCTTTTTTGATTCCTACATTTTCCCCTTTTCTCTTCAAGAAATCATGATATTCTACCAATTCTTTCAGATGTAACTGTGCAGAATGTTGTAACCATGCATTTTCATCTCTTTTTCTTTCAAATTCCTTTCACAGTGTTCTCCAATACTGGTCTTCTGACCTCTTTTATAAGCATCTTCTGCTTCTGTCCACCCAGAATGGACTGCTGGAAGCACTGTCTTTGTCCATGGCTCTCTGTGTGGGCCTTATTTTCTTAGTAGGAGCTTTCGATTGTCTTGTGCTTTTTAAACAAACCTTTATCTTAATAAAAAAATGAGCCAGTTTTTAGTGTCTAATGAAGTTTTAGATTTTTTCTAAAGGAAAAATGAAATGCAAAGTATTTCTATCTACAGTTTCTATTAAGGCAACACTGACTGAACAACAGAAGACTTTTCCTTTCCTTCCATTCCAATTTCCAAACTTTGTTCTTGGTTGTTTTTTTTTTTATTTCTTCCCACTTTGAGAAGAATGTTTGGCTGTTGCCGGGGCTTCTTTTTTTTTCTGTGTTTCTTTTGTTTTTCTTGCACAAAGACCTACCAAGTAATACATTATTCTCCATGTGTGGCTTTGTAGTTCTCAGGAAAATCACCTGGTTTGTCTGGATCAGGTGTGACATTCAGCTTCCTGAAACTTGTCAACTGTTTAGCTCTATAGAGAAGATTGCTAAATTTCATGCTAGCCAGCTTTGAGGATGCTTCACTTAAGCTCCTGCTACATCACTTTAACAGCAAACAGAAAGACTTCAAAAATTATCTTTTCCTTCATGACTGTTCATGACTCTGTATTAGCCCTTAAGATTTTAATTTACCTACAAGTTCTAACTATTTGTGATGCAGATTCTCAGGGGTATGATTCTGCTGAATTCCTTTTGGCACAGCCAGGCCAAATTCCTTTGAAATACTTAAAAGAGAATAATTTCTGAGAATGAGTGTTTAATGAAGATATAAAAATTTCTTCTGTTTGATTCTGCATTGATTTTGCCATTTTCCCCTAATATCTGGCTTTGGAACAACAGCTTGAAGTCTGACTGTCAGAAAACTATTTGTATACTTTGTGGATGTTCCTAAATTTTCTTTATGAAAATCTGTGGGAAAATTGGCCAACTTTCCAGACTTTTAAATTTTTGGACTGCATAGTAGACTCCTTTGATTTAGACAGCTTAAGCCCGGGGATATTCCATTATGCTGGAACATGCCCTTACTGTTGCCTAACTTTGTATGAGCTATCTCTGCTATTCTTAATACTTCCAAGGAGATTAAAAGTTTCTCTCGATAATTATTCATGGCTGTTGTTGTTTGGATATAAAAAGTCATTCTTCCCTATGCTCTAAAATGCCTTGATATTCTACTGCTTTTCTGTTCACATCTCAATAGTGTCTAAATGGCAAAAGAGAAAAGCAGCAGTCTGGACAAATGAGTTTGAGTTGAGTTTTATATGGGGAGAAGGAAGGGCTTAATGGGAGAACTTCATGGAAAGAGAGAACCTGAAAATGATACCATTTTTCCTCTGCACTCCTTTGTCTCCATCTGGCTTAAGGGCCGAAAGCATTTAAGGGTAAGGATTCCAACTGGACTGGACTGGCAGAAAAGATCAGAATAACTGAAGGTAGGGCTTGAAGAGGTCTTTAGAATTAATCCAATAAACAAAAAAAGTTGTCTCTAAGTCAAAATCACTTTATAGGAGCTATTTCCTGGTAGATGTTGATCTGTGTCTTTTTTAGAAAGACACAGAAATCTAGAAAACTGTGGGATTTCCTCTAGTGTTCTTGTGACCTTTACTGAAAAAGGTTTTACCAATGTCTAATCTTCTACTTTTTTCCTGCAATGAAAGTCTTTTTTCACTTGGTCTGTCCCCACTTGACATAATTCCTATCTTTTTCAATTCAGTACAGGAAAGCAGCCAGTGTTGTCTCCTCAAGCTTGCCTTCCATTCACTTGAAGTAGTTCTTTAGTCCCTTGTTTGGGATATGCTTTCTGAACCTCTAGTGATTTTGGTTGCTGTCTTGCAGATGATATAATAGTTCACATTCCTAGAAGTGATCACATTCCTAGAACAGATCATTTCATATAAGGCTTCACTAACCTAAGCTGGAGCTGGAAGCCTTGTAAGGTAGTGCTGCACATGTTGCTGTTATTGGGAAATGTTTGCATAGCGTTTATTTTCTGCTAAAAATCAGCGAGATCCTGGTTTGTGGTCTTCTGCATAGATCCTGACTTGATCAGTGTCTCAGGATCTTTTAGGAAGAAACTGTAGTCTTCTCATGTCCCATCTACCACTGAGGAATGTACTGTTTGTCAAGCAGAGTTATTGCTGCTCAATGTTTGCTTTCAGTGTGTTCGTATGAAATATATAATTGGTCATTGCAAATAGATCTGTTATAACATGTTATTTATTTTAGAAGGGGCAGTAGGTTATTCAGCTGATGTCCCTACATCAGATCGACCCCACAGTGAGACAGCCACCTATGTTAATATTCCTGTCAGCCCTACTTCCAAAAAACAGCTTCATTACATGGAACTGGAACTTCAAGAACCTAGCACAAGCATAAGAGGTAAGGAAGTCTACAATACTATTTAAACAGCAAAGGATACAGTAATGCAGAATGTATGGGGCATGGGGAATCCTAATTTCATATAAGGAGCAGCTGAGGGAGCTGGGTTGGTTTAGCCTGGAGAAAAGGAGGTACAGGGGAGACCTTATCACTCTCTACAACTACCTGAAAAGAGGTTGTAGCCAGGTGGGGGTCGGCATCTTCTCCCAGGCAACCAGCAACAGGATAAGAGGACACAGTCTCAAGCTTTGTTAGGGTAGGTTCAGGCTGGACATCAGGAAGCATTATTGCACTGAAAGGGTAGTCAGGCATTTGAGGTCTTTTCCAACCTTAATGACTCAATAATCTACCCACAGGCTTTTGGTAACCGGTAGATGAACTCTGATATGTTTGTGAGGCAGTTCTTTTAATTGACATCTTTTTTTTGGGAAAGATTTTTGAATAATGATGTTCTATAAGATGTTGTATCCCTTTGACAGGTGCATTGTATATGTGCTCCTTCTCAAGTGAACATTTCTCTGTCTGTGGAGTTTGAAAGACAGTAATTTGCTTGTGTTCTCAAGGTTTTCATCCCACGTAGTAGGACTAAACTTACTTAAATTTTCTTGCTTGGCTTCAGAAACAGGACGGTGGGTGTAGGTGTACAGGGCTTGCTCCTGAAGACACTGACTCTGGAGCCATGCAGCAAATGATTAAGAACAGAAATGAGTTCTCTTCTATCTTCTGTCCATGAGGATGTATGAAAGTGCTACAAAGAGATAGCCAGCCCAATTATCTGATTTTTTTTAAATTACTTTTTTTGCTTGTTTTTTTTTTAATTGGGTATTTTACTTCTAATGCTTAACTTGAACAATTAGTACATAAGTATGCAATATATATTTACCATATATTGTGATATATATATATATTTATATATATATTTACCATATATTGTGATCTAGAGTTGCAGTCCTTGTTACAGAAAGCATTTTATCAGAATCTGGCATTTAATTGCTCACATTTGGTATTGATGGTTTTTCCATCTATAGTTTTTAGCTACTAAGATTTTCGTTTTTATACTTTTAAATTCAGCAATTTTATTAACTTTGAAATGCTAGGACTTTTCCCATTTTTTTAAAATGTTTATATGGTTTTAGTTAAGTAATTCTAAGCTTCTCTTGGACTTAAAAGTAGTTCTCCTGTTGGAATGTTTTATCTTCATTTTAAAGACAACGAACCAAGGAATTAAGAATGAAATTCCATAAACTTTCCTAAATGTCAGCCACCCTCTCAGGCTCAAATGGTGTAACTTTAAAGGTGCCTTTAATGATCATAAATACATTATTTTTTTCATACTAAAGTTTTCCCAGCCTGCAGCATCTGTGTCTGCACCTATACAGAACTATTTTACTCTAGAGCAGACTGAGCAGCTTTTATCTCCCCTACTGCCAGAAAATGATCTAAAGTGTCATTCTGCTTGAGGCTGAAGGGGGTTCCTCTGGTAGATGTTCACAGAGTGCCTAATCCTGACAAAGAAGAACTCTGCCAACTGCCACAAATGTTTTTTGTTCAAATGCCAGATGTTGTTCATTTACTGACTGGTAGCTTGGTGACAAAGCCTCATAGAAGAGGGAATGCTGAGTTCAGTTTTGTCTTTTACTGGGAGTAGCAGGAGTGGAGATTTGAGCCAGGGGCAGAAATGCAAGTGGTTTCATTTTTGCTTATTTGAAGAAAACCTGATAGCTAAAATATGTAAATATACAAAACACCTTAACAAGCTTTGTTTAGCTGTGGTTATCATCTTACTCCCTTCACGTAGCTTGCTTTAAGACCAGGCCCAGATCATCCAGGAAATCTGTGGAAGAAGTGTCTGAATACTTAACCCTGTGCCAGTTTTACCCAGGAATATATGAGGGGTAGAGTCTTTTACAGGGTTTCATTTGATGTTTCAGGGAGTGGATCATCCCGGTATGCACAGATTGACATTGCAGCCACTGAGACAGCCCACAAAGTGGGGACGCAGCACGCCCAGTGCCGGGAGGAACGCTTGCAGGAGCTGGAGCAGAAGAAGAAAGGGGCCCAGCAGTGACTTGTCTAGGAAAGAACTTTTTGCTCACCACAAATTGATACTAATTCGTCTTCCAAAAGATTCAGACTAATTGTAAAAAATGGTCACACAAAATGCTGCCATTGCTTCTTGCATTTATACCAGATTCATTCCGATATCTTCATTCATAATTGGAAAGCTGGTAGCATGAGGGGTTTGCTTGGTCTTTCTTTTTATTCTAATTTGGTTATAAAGTCCAGATATTTTTTTTTCATATGCAATGACAGATGTAAGTTACCTTTTTCTATAATTCTAAAATCATGGAGAACCTGGAACCAATTTCAGTATTTATTAAATGGTGGCATTTTCTTTAAAAATGAAGAACTTGAATGTGTGTAGATAACAGAATGTGAGTGTGTGTGTGGTAAGTGTACACATATGTTTGCATATGTGCACGTGTATGTATGTAAGCACACATTGCTGATAAAATATATGTATATATCTGAGTGTATAAAACATAAACCCTCTATTAATATATTAATGGACTCTTATAAAAGCAAGAAATTTCAGTGCCTACTTTTTTGCAGGCACAGTTATGTTCAATTTATGTGCTTATTTATGGACATGCTTAACTTTCTCTATGAATAATTCAGTTTTATACCTCACCAGGAATCCTGCAGCTTTGGCTAAAGTTGCTCAGATTTAAAAGCTGTAGTGTCAGGGATGCATATGTGTATGCACACAGAAAGGAGCACACAGACAAGTTATTTAATTATGTCTATAAACCACAGTAATGTGAAGGGGCATTTTGGGTGCTTTTTTTCTTAAAAACCCTAGATCAACCCAAAAGTTCGATTTCATAGCTGCTGAGTACCTGTAATTCTTAGCAATTTTCCTAGAGTTGAACATATGTATCACTTTGAAAATCAGGCCTCAGGTTTCTCAGACAGAATGTTTTAAAATCAAGGTATTAAAAAGAAACATTTACTTTTGCAAATTGAGTTCTTTATATCACAAAACCTATCCTGAATGTCAAGCAGCATTGAAAGCAGAGCATCCACATTACATCTAAAAATTTCATTGAATAATTCTCTGCTGTCCCTAAATAGCATAAAACCAGTTCTGTGTAAGAGGATGATGTCTCCAGAGATGCTACAGAATTGAGGCACAACAGGATGTTATCTTGTAAAATAAGTTTAACCACAAGTCTGTGACATCCTGCTTTTGTACAGTGAGATTGTATGATTCAAAATCTGAATTCCCATGTTGCATTGTCTATTTAATTCTTCTGTTATTTTTATTTGTCCTGATATAAAGTGTTATTTAAATAAAATGTTATATAAAATGTTATGGCAGTGACACTAGACTAACAAGGAAGTGTACTTATGAGGAAAACAACTTTTTTTCTAATAACGTATCAGCTTTGGCTTCCAGAAGTTACTGGGAGTGATATCTTGGGTATTATGATTTTTTGACTGTGTCCTCTTAAGATCCAATATCACAGCCAAATTCTGGTTTTTAGATATGCATCATAATTTATGCTGGTGACTGGAAGTTTTGTGCCAGTGAGGGTTTCACTAAATAACTTAGGATGAGACATGGGTGTTTGTTTTTGAGGCAGAATTTAACCTGTAAATTTATTTGAATGTAGCCTCAATAGTAATGTAAAATATCAGAAATCTCTCAAATAAAAAATATGTGTTTGAGAGTTGACAATTGCCACTCTTATCTGTCCTGTGCTCAGATGTACATTTCTGTTAATCCACCTTACTTATTACTGAAGGGAAAGGATTCTAAGATTTTTCTTATTTGACAAGTGAACGGGGGTGATCTGCTTTGTAAAAACATGCTCAGTACAGTTTGAATGGCCTGGGCTTCTTGGGATCAGGTTTATTTAGATTGGCATGTTCTTCAGTCGAAGATGCTCCACTGGAGGACTTGCAAGGTTAAACCTCTTGCTATGTCCCTATTTTATATTTAATATTTAAAATGCGCATAGCTTCCCTAATGCATTGAAATGCAGTGTTTTCCATGAAAATATATAACAAAACTACAATATTTCTGTTGTAAAAATCTATTTACCAGGAAAATATATTACCTAGGATCTCTACAAAGGCTGCCAGCTGCTCGCATTGAATCTGGGACTTGTAGCATGGGTAAGGATTTGACGCAATAGGAAAGGTCTTCAGATTGCTGCTGAACTCACAGAGAAATCACAGTTTAAAAAATGTGTTTTGGGTTTTGTTTTTTGGTTTTTTGTTTTTTTTTTTTCAGGTTGAAAAGGGGCTGTGAATCTGTGCATGCACATGGGTCTCTGTGCACGTGTTTGTGTACGTCATAGTAACTTCAACAAGGAAGATCTAGATGGCTGTATATAAATTTGCACTAATAGCCTTTGTTAATGTCAACTCAGTTATCCTATAAGGCTTTCCACAAATGAAGTATTTTACTTTTTAGGGTTCTGTTTCTTTTTTTTTTTTTAATACGTAGGAGGCTGAAGCAGGAGGCAAAACCATACTGTTGCACCTATTAAAAACCGGTTGGTTGTTGTTTTGGTAGTGCCTCCCTGTCAAGTTACAGGCTTGGCATTTCTGTTGGAGAAATTAGAGCTTTCTTATTTGATCAACAGGAGATCACAGAAATAGGAAACCTTTTTTCTAAGTATATAAAATCACATGACTTCAACTTCCACTAGCAAACTGAGGACAGTGGAAACCAAACCATAATCCTATGAGCAGACTTTGTGCTCACAGTGTAGCCTCCATGGGTTAACTTTAGTACTGCTGTTAATGTCCAAATAGTTGGGGGTTTACTCACACACCTTGCATAAAACTTGTTGCACAAGTGATCTAAAATATAGTTTGTGACTACTATAGGATGGTTCCAGATTCAGAGCTCTTTGCAAAAAACCCCAAAATATCTCCCAAAATTTTGAGATGAGACTTGTAACTTCTAATGATAAAAGGAAGGATTTGCTCATTTTTAATTTAGCATTCTCTCAGAGTCAGATCTCCTCCTGTTCTTACCAGGGATTAATTACCAGAAGAACAAAACAATGTGATGTAGCTGATGCTTCTGTAAGATGTCCTTGAAGTACTTTAACATGGCAGAATTGCTCTTGGTGACATGAAAACCAGCTGTCTGCAAGCACAGTGTTTGGGCATAAGCATTAGTGTGCCGTGCATGTACCTCTTTCTTTCTGATAGACCTACTCAGTAGGCTGGCACCAAATGTAATTACTGCATGAGTGGGGTTTATGGCATTGTTCATAAGCTGTTATGGAGCATTTTTATATGCAAATGCCTGGGTGATGGAATGTGCTGTGGGATGGAGGCCTGGAGTTTGAAGGTATTTAATTACCCAACAATGCAAATAGTTGTCTGGGTTTTAATAGCATTCCTGACACCTAATTGTGCAAAAAGCCAGTAGGTGTCTTTAGGCATGTAAATGTTTGTGAAAATCTGCCCTAAGAGTTGTTTTTAGCAAACAGCTTTGAAAAATTCCTCATTTTTCCACTCTGCTTTAAACAAAGCAGTTTTAAATTAGTGTCACTTGGAAAACTCTACTTAAATTTGAGTTATGAGTGATCACACTTTTTTTTTGGTGAGATTCTGAAACATGCACCTTTTGGTAGGTTCCTCTTCTGGTTTGTCTGGGATAACACACATACTTGCTAAAATGACCATGGGAGGAAGACACAGAATTTCATGAGTTACTGTAAAAATTATGAATTTTATTTTCAGATGACAGTGCCATTATATTTTTGTGTCACCTTTTCTCTGGAGAGATTGTCAGCTCTCATTTGACCAGTCATACAAACAGTGTTTTGCAGTCTAGGTTGAAAGGAAAAGTTAATTTAACCTCATGCAGCAATGGGAACAAGCAAAGCAGAGTAAGGATGGAAGAGTTAGTAGTTATTAAAAGGAAGTTCATAAGGAGCAGGTCTGCAAACGTTATCTTTTCAGTGTACTTGAGTATTAAGTGCCATTTTTTGAAAATTTGTGTGGGTTCTGATGGATTCAGCTTTATGCTTTCCCCTGACCAGCAGTATCAGTTGAATGGTCACAAATCCATGAGGCCTGATGGGATTCATCCCAGAGTGCTGGAGGAGCCAGTAGATGTTATGGCAGGACCCCTCTCAATCATCTGCCAAAGGTCTTGGGCATCTGGGGAAGATCCTGATGACTTGAAGCTAGCCTGTGTTATTGCAAGATACAAAAAGGGCATAAGGGAAAACCCAGGGAACTACAGACCTGTTAGTCTGACCTCAGTTCCTGGAAAGATTATGGACAGGATCATGTTGAGTACAATTGAAAGGCATTTAATGAACAGTGCACTCATCAGCCTCAGTAAACGTGGGTTCATATAATTTGATATCCTTCTGCAATAAGATCACCTGCTCCAGGATGAAGGGAAGGTGGTAGATGTAGGTTTTGTTGATTTTAGTAAGGCTTTTGATAATTTCCTCACAGCATCCTTCTGGACAAGTTTTTCAGAGCAGGTTCCTGGTGTGCAGTGTGGAGCAACTGGCTAAGGGGCAGAGCTCAAAGGGTTGCAGTGAACTGGGCTGGGTCTGTCTGGTGAGCAGTCACCAGTGGTGTCCCTCAGGGCTCAGTCCTAGGGCCGGTTCTGGTCAGTAAGTTTATCAACAATCTGGATACAGGAGTGAATGCCCCATTAGAAGGTTTGCTCATGATACCAAATGCTTTTGAGTCTCTTGAGGGGCAGGAGGCCTTGCAGAGGGATCTAGATAGATTGGAGCATTGGGCTATGATTAATGGGATGAAATTTAACAAGTCCATAGCCAGATTCTGTACCTAGGATGGGGTAGCACTGGGCATGTGTACAAATGGGGAGAGGAGTGGCTGGAGAGCAGGAAGGATCTGGGGGTGCTGGCCAACAGCAGCTCAGTGTGAGTCAGCAGTGAGCCCTGGCAGCCCAGAAGGAAAACCCCATTCTGGGGTGCATCAAACACAGCATGACCAGCTGGGCAGAAGAGGTGATCTGTACTCAGTGTTGGTAGAGCCTCACCCTGAGTGCTGTGTGTGCCCCACACACAACTCACATTTAAGAAGTAAGTGAAGGTCCCTGAATGCATCCAGAGAAGAACAGCAAAGCTGGAGAAAGGGATGGAAGGCCTGTGCTGTGAGGGGTGGCTGAGGACACTGGGTTTGTGTTGTTTCAAGCAAAAGAGGCTGAGGGGTGACCTCATTGCTCTCTACAGGTTCCTGAGGATGGGAAGCAGAGAGGGAGATGCCGAGCTCTTGTCCCTGATACCCAGTGATAGGATATGCAGGAATGGTTCAAAGCTGCACCAGGGGATGATTAGATTGGATATTAGGATGTATTTCTTTACCAAGAGGGTGGGCAAACACTGGAACAGGCTTCACAGAG